AGCCAGCATGGCTGGCTGGGGAATTCTGGGAGTTGAAGTCCACTCATCTTAAAGTGGCCAAGTTTGAACAACACTAGTATATGCATTTTTAAGCTAGCAAAATTTCTTAGAACTTTTCATTTTTTAATTGAAAAATTCTCATTCTTTTCAGAGAAAATTCAAGGATTCCAAAAAAGAAAGAAAAAGGGGGGAAAAAACAAAAACCTAAACACAGCCTTTCGTGAGACTACGGGAAATTCCAGACCACAACGAAAGCATGCAGTACCCAACATCTCCATGCTTGTGGTTGTTAATGTACGCAAGATCTTCTGAGGAAGCAATTTGTTTGCTGATTTTGCAATGGAGAAATAGAGCATTTATTGAAATGCTGGCTGTAAGTTAAAGCAGGTAAAAGACTCATCCAAACTAGATTTGAAGACTACATTTTTTCACAGCAAGACAACTGTTTAAGGTAAGACTAGAAGCCCTGTACAATATCTCAAAAAAGAAAACGAGGGGTTTTCTCTCCATTTTTTTTTTTCCTGAGGCTACCTCATCATCTTGATCCTACTCAACATGTACTGAAGATTAATCATACTTTAGTTGATTAATTGGCTGCCAATTTGCATACAGTTAATTGGTTATAAATTGAATACAAGTAGAGCAAGGGGTTCTGAAGCAAGGAACATACATTACTTGTATATAGTACAATATTCTTAATAGCAATATATTCTATTCAGGGAAGAAGAATGAATTGTCTGTTTTAAGATAGTCTTACGATCTTCATCTTTTCAAAATATTTGTTAAAGTTTTTAATGGTGGAATTATACAATGGTGCAATTATATAACCTCCTGTCAAAATGTTAAAATCTATATTTATATTGGAGAGCATGCCCAATAAGTTAAATTATTTGTCGAAGATATAACTAAAGTATAACGTGCAACCCATAGTCTCTAAATACTGTTCATTCCTATACATTATACATAATGAAATGTTTCGAATTTGAAATTGAAAGCAGACTTAGATGTTTTTATGGAAGCAGATCTTTTCTGGTGCTAAAATCCATGGCCAGAAAACAAATTATATTATTTCATTCATATACAACTATTTCCAAACTATATCCAATATGAATTAATATTTCTTTTTCTGCAGTTTGCTAGTTTTACACAATAAAGGTAAAATCTAAGTATTCTATTTATATATATTTATATAGCCTGTGTGTGCTCTGTGCGTGTTTGTTAAGAATCTGCAGAAAGCAAGCAGAGAACTTTCCCTTCACTTTTTCTTCATAGTTCCGCCTTTATTTGCTTCTTCTTTTGTGGTTTATAGTGAAACATGACAATACTGCTTGGGTGTTTAGCATGAAGGACCAAACTTGAGACTGGAATTACCGTCTTTTCTGCACTGCTCTGCGTCTGTTTGAAAATGTGGATTTCTTAGAATTCTCTATCATTATACTATCATTGTTTCCCACCCATCCCCATCTAATCTCCATCAGACTGGTGATGCATCTGATTTTTATACAGCTAGCTGGGAGATGTTTAGAACGTACAAATATAGAAGCAAAAGTGAATATAAAGTTATATTTCCTTGCAGAAAACATAGTTGCCTGTATAAATCCAACCTCAGCTCTCTGTTTTGAAAGTGTCCTTATCTGGTCCAATCTGAACAATCTTCACCAGAATTGGTGTACTCGGGGAGGTGGCACAGCATGTCTTACATATTTTCATCAGCCTAAATATATGTAGTTTTTATTTTATGAAAATAAAATCTTCACAAAATGAATGACGGACCATTACCTTTCCATTGCATCTTATTTATGACAGCATTATCTATATGTTGAGCTGTCTTGGAAATATAGTATTTCACCATTTTATTAATAATTTAATGACAGCTCCTTAAAGCCTGGAGACAGCTTTCAGTGTGAGCTGAAGGCTCTTTCAAAGACACAGAGTATCATATGTAGCTCTTTCCATGGACATGGGGGGGCTTTCAGGATGGCAACTCCTCTGCTGTGGAATTCCTCTCCATCAGCTCAGGGACAATCCCATCCCATCCTATCCCATCCCATCCAAGGTCCTTCTGTTAGTCATTCTTTTCCTTGGCATAGCCTTCTGCTGCAAGCTCTATATTAGGCGTATTATGTCTTACATGTTTGCCTTGTTAGTCAAAATAAAGCCATTAAACAAAAGAGCAGGGGAACCTGCCATAGCCTCAAGGCTCTGTAGGACAGACAACTTTTAAGAAGCAAGCTGAAGGGCATTTGAGAGCTTTCATCTGCAGTGAACACGGGTCTTCCCTGAACTGTTGCTCTCCAAAAGAGTTGGACTTTAATACTAGAGAAGGCTTAGGGGAGCTTCTTGTTAAATGTTGGGAGAATAGCACATCCCTTGTTTTAAAAAATGTTTGATAATATATCACATTGCAGCCATGGAGATAATGTGGAGGGAAACTCTGAGGAAGCATCTGTTAGCCACAGCCTGGTTGCATCCACAGGGGTGAAGGAACTAAGGCAGGTGCCACAAGGGCTACAGGTCAATCCTGCCTAAGAGATGCCAGCAAGGGAGTACCTGAGGATGAAGTTGAGGTGGCATTAATCTCTCCTGCCCCTCTGACTAACTTGATTCCAGATGGACAGCAGCAAGAGAAACAGAATGTCTTGTTTTTCAAAACCCTAAGTAAAGACTTTTCTCACCAACTTCCCTTTTGCTTCATTGTTAACAAACTGACAGCACACCCCTGCTTTCAGTTGCCATGACCCCTGACCAGCAGAGCGGACACTTCTGTTATTTTGTATTTTGAAATAACAGAGAAGTCTGTTTACCAGTGGCAAAACCAGGAAGAGCATAGATACCACAAACCATCCCTTTACCCTTCATAGTGTTTCTACTGAAAGCAGATACCAGAACACTGGATCCAAGGCTCTTCCTTCTTCTCAAGAATTCATGAATTCAGTTCCAGCACCTGCCAGCCTAGCCGAAACCTACAGGACGGGTGGGAAAAAGAACCATCAGAGAAAACCAAAAAAGGCCATGCAAACATCCAAGATGCTTACTCTTGCTAGCAAAAGACAGTAAGGGCTAGGAAATGAGGGGCTGAAAAGCACATCAATAACCAATTAATATAGGCAACAAATTATATGCAAATCTGCATCCCTTTTGATCTCCTTTTTTAGTGATGGTCACCCTACTCAGAGAGTGGATGTATAGCTAGGCTATACTACTTCACAGCATGGGGATTTTCTGTTTCCCTGTTTTTTCATAAATTTCCTACACAAAGAAAACAAGGCAATTGTAATGCAAATAGTGGGAAAACAAGACCAACTGTAACACAACTATAATGCAACCAAGTGTAACACAACCGACTGAAACACAACTAGTGGGACACTCCAAGGTTCCCGTCTATGATCAGGGAATGGTTTGGGGTAGCAATAAAAAGCAACAAGTAGCATTTAACGCATTATGGTCTCAGCAAGTAGCAGCGTCTCGCTGACCATATCTGACCTCAAAAGCTAAGCAGAGTTGAACCTTGTTTGCACTTCGATGGGAAAGCACCAGAGAATTCCAGGCCTATAGACTAAATGGGAAGTTGAAAAACTTCTTGAAAGAAATCAATGGCTAATCACATCCATACTGTAGCCAAGAAAACTGCATTGGTAAGTCTGTGAAACTAATAGAAGCTGAGTTTGCCTGCTGCATTTTTTAATATTAGCCAAGGTTGACTAGGTATTGCTACATGCCAGAATATTATATTACCTATTATTTTCATAGCATAAGACAATGAACATTGGTGAAGCTACAAAAACAGCAGTCACAATATAACCTATTGGAAGGAGCTAAAAGAGAAGTCATCCATCTGAGGCCCCCTGGCCATTTGTGGTCCCCAACTCTTTTTATGCCCCAATCCTCAACCACAATGGCCCCAAATCATTACCAGTTTCCAAAGACTTTGAGGCCAGGACATACTGTAATATAACCCACCCTGCCATTGTATAATTTTTTTTAATCAACTCTTCCCACCAATAAAAAAAAAAGAGAGAGAGAAAGAAATACAATGTCCTGTCCATGTCCGTATATGTGACATGTCCTTTCCCATTTCATATCATGACTCTATTCACTACAATCCTTGCACACACCAACAAGTTAAATACAACCCTTGGTCATCCAAAGATTGCCCAGACTAAAACATGAAACACAGTACTGCATTAAGTGTAACTAAATCCTACTAAAATCTGTCTGACTTACAGCATTTTCCTTTGTATTTCACTCAGAAATAAGTCCCATCAAATGCAGCACAGTTTACCCCAGAACAATTACCTGAGCATTTTACTTCTGAAATTAAGTTTGCTTCCTTGCATGTATGCCCCTGAAAGAAAAGCTAAAAGTGGCTCACTTATGCTTCTGAAGAGCTCTGTAATCTATAACTTCTAACAGTATTGTATATGTCTATGCCTAACTATGTTTTTCATTTATATTTTTATTTCAAGCATATATTCACCATGACTGAAAAAGATATTGAAGTAACCTCTGCATTTGTCTATGAGGAATACGCCATTCCATGTGATAAAATGGACATCCAGATACTTGGGCAAGTCTTTCTGCCTGTGTTGTATGCCCTGGTGTTCACCATTGGGCTGGTAGGAAATTTTCTGGTGGTTCTTACCATTCTGAAAGCCAGGCACCAAAAGAGCATCACCGATTTTTTTTTTCTGAATTTGGCCATCTCTGATCTTCTTTTTGTGATTTCTCTTCCTTTTTGGGCTTCTTATATCATACAAGGCTGGACACTTGGGAACATTTCATGCCAAATCGTTTCCTCTTTCTATTCTGTGGGCTACTTTGGTGGCATGTTTTTCATCACCATCATAAGCATTGACAGATACCTGGCTATTGTCCGGGCAACATGTATTATGAAAGCCAGGACAGTTACCTATGGATATCTTACTAGTGTTTCAATATGGATCCTGGCAGTTTTGTTTGCAAGCCCCCACTTTATATTCATCCAAAAGTCAGAGAGCAAATGTACTTCATTGTTTCCAGAACACCTTGAAAAAATCTGGCCTGTTTTCAGCTACATGGAAATGAACATCATTGGATTCCTTCTCCCAATGTGCATCATGAGCTTCTGCTATCTGCAGATCATCAGAACACTACTGTCTTGCAAAAATCATTGCAAACAAAAAGCTATGAAAGTGATTTTACTTGTGGTAATTGTATTTTTTCTCTTCTGGACTCCATATCACATTTCACTTTTTCTGAAGGTATTACAGTACTTTGACTTCTTTGATGATTGCAGTTCCTTAAGGCTTCTGGATTATACCATGCAGGTGACTGAGCCACTAGCTTTCAGCCACTGTTGTCTTAATCCAATCATTTATGTTTTTGCTGGTGAAAAATTCAGAAAGCATCTTTCCCTCTTGGTTCTCAGATGCATTTCATTCACTTGTGCCTGTGGACCTTGTAGCCAGTATCGCAATGCAGTGTCCACTCCTATTTCAGAGGTTGCTGGGACAAGCAATCAGACCCAGAACACCAGTGACCAAGTTGCATCTCTCCTTTGACTGTTAACAGTTACATGGTACTGAATATTTGGCATACTGAATGTTAAGCTATTTTATCCAACCTAATTAAATAACCAATACATTTTATATTGTTTAAGCAGTTACATCCTTGTTTCCCACTATTTCTTTTGTTAACATATTCAGAGGGAAAAGGGTTTTATATTGGGACCTCTGGCTGCTTAGAGTACTTCACATAAGTAGAGAGACATGAAGAATTACTACAAAACAGAGCTATAATGTCTCGCTATCCAGAAATTCTTGGAACTATGATAAACAACTGAAGAATCTGGTATATACCCTGCTTCCGCCACCCTCTTTTCCCAATCATTTGTGTCCTCTTCTGAGAACAAGAGATTAGCTATTGCAAAGGAAAGGACAAGCTGTATTTGGATCGTACACACACATAATTCAGTAGGAGATTTTTCACAGAATCATAGAAACTTAGGGTTGGAAAGGACCTTGTCATCCAACCCCAATCCCTATCAAATGCAAGAATCCAACACTGGAGCATCTCCAACAAATGGCCATCCAGCCTCTGTTTAACTATTTCTAGCAAAGAACATAATCAGTGCCCTCTTGGATCTGATCCTTGGCAGATCTAGTCCAGCTGTCTGTTCTCATAGTGGTCAACCAACTGCACAAGGAAGCCCACTAGTCTCCCAGCAGATGGTCTTCAGAGGCAATGGCACTGCCATTAAGACTACTGTAATAGCCTTGATCCCCCATGAATAAAGCAGTTATTGGCTGCTTTAAAAACTGGCTCAGCTTAATTGTACTAAACTAAGCTGCAACTCTAAATACACTTAGTAAAACAGATATGAGAACCTCCTTCTTTTAGAAGTTGTGAAACTTCAACTCTGAGCATTTCACGCCACTGGTTATTTTAGTAGCACATGCTGAAAAGTGTGAGAGAGCAACAACTATAGGGTTTTGCAGTGTTGCTCTAAGACTTGACTCCACTATATTGATTAAGATTTCTTCTTAGTAATCAAATGATAAGATATTTTGAAGTTATATGCTTTCCTAAAATGGGAAAAAAGAGAAAAAAGGAAGAAGATGAGCCAGCAAAAATTTTTAAAAAAACACTCTATACAATTGTTCTTTATAAATTGTCCAACTTTGATGGAAAAGGAAGATTTCTTCTGGCAAAGGCAGAAGACCCAGTCCTGCTACAACTGTACCACAAGTTGTAAAAGGAGAAAGAAAATCAGCTTGCTAAGAAAGCCCTCGGCACCTGCAAAGGAAAGACCTAAATAAAGTCAACAGACTAGACAGTTCAACCACTTCTGTTTTTTCTCGTCCATATTGTTCTGTTTTGAATCCAACAAAAATAGCAATGTAAGCCACCTGCTGAAAGTGGCCTTCCTTTAGATATCACATAACATTGATGTTTGGTTTTGATTTTTAAATTCCTTTCTTCTTGCCTTGACTCATAGACTCAATAATTTGGCTTTCTAAATTCAGATAGAGCTTTTACCTCCAGCCACTGATAAGTTTTCAGTTAAATATGCAAACTAGGAAACAAGGGGCATATGGTACAGCTACCCAGATTTCATTTAAATGTAAGGGGAAATGTCTTAATGGCAAGATCTGTGCAACAGTGGAATCGTATATTTAGACAGGATGTGGATACTCCATCTGTGGCAAATTTTAAGAAGATGCTGGACAGCCCCCCCTCATGATTGTTTAATTGGTTTTCCTGCACATTGCAGAGGGTTGCACCAGATGACCCCGTGGTCCATTCCAACTGTACAGTTCTATGCTTTTATGATTTAAATTGCTAATGTGAAATACAACCCAATCTCTGCCTTATTATTTCCCTCTTCTCATGACTTCTCTGTTGGTCTGAAAAATATAATAGTAAAAATAAGACTAAAATGTAAATGCTCCATTCTCATTTCACTTGCTTGACAAGGATACGAAAGGAACCTGGAATCTGGCTGCTGTGATTGCTTTGAAAAAAACCTAAAATTATATTCCTATATTTTTCCTCCATTATAATATTGTTTCTAAGACAAATGTAATCTCATAACCCAAATGATGACCTCTAAATCTCTTCTAATCCAAATTGGGAATCTGGTAGCACCTTTTCTGACTAACAAATTTTATTAAAAGACATAAGCCTTTGTGAGCTGCAGCTTGCTTCATCAGAGGCATACAGTGGATAGACTGATGTTGGATTTAAACTGGGGTGACACTGAAAAGGAGGAAAGGAAGGGGAAAATAGGTTGGTTATGCAGCTGCAGGTACCTGTGAAAAGCAGGGCTTCAGCAGCAGAACTGAGCAAGAAATTGATACTCACATACATCAAAAGGTTCCAGACTATTTCAGAAGATCTCAACAAATACAACGAGCTTTTTAACACATTACAATTGTTAACTGGTAAGGTACTTGTAATATCTCACATGTAACCTGGTGCAGCCTTTCTATGCATCTAATGAGGCAAGCTGCAACTCACAAAAGCTTATGCCTTTTAATCCAACTTGTTAGTCAGAAAAAGTGCCATTAGATTCCTGATTTTTTTTATGCCACCATAGATTAACATGGCTGTCCTCCTACCATTTCTAATCCAAACAATGACCTCTAAACATACAGCTCTCACGTAGCCAGGATGTCCCAATCTACTGAATAAATCTTTCAGCCACAAATTAATTTTATCTATTTGAAGCTATTTATCCCAGTACTGTATACATAAGGAGGAGGTCTTGTATCAGCAGTTAGAAATTTGGCCAGTGTAAGGGCCATATTGGACCCAATGGAAGCCTCAGGTGGACACACAAGTAGGAAGAGCTGGAAGTGGGTGGACAACAGTCCATGGGACCAGGAATGACATGTGTACACTGTCTTCATGCTTATTCCATCTCTTGCACATGCACACACATAAACACACCTGCTCAGACTTCTCACTATGCTATCATCCCAAAAGTAGTAACTTTAAGCTTTTATCTCCATGCCATCATGTTCAAGGCTGCTGTTCCTCTGTTGGAGAAATCACTCAGAAGGACATTGAAATCTGTTTTCCTAGCAATCCAATTCAGAATCTGAAGGAGATTTTTATTGTGGTCCCTCCTCAGTAGACAAGTTGGTGTTTCTCTACTGCTATCAGCCACTTTGATCGGGATTTTTTGGGAGACCTTTAACTTGCCCCAGCCTCTCCAACAAACCTGATTATAAGCCTTTCCCCACTTGCATATAACCACAGCACAAACATACCCTGGAATGTTATCAGCTCAGCTTTTTTATTTTGATTTTAATTAACCTAATTATAGTTTTGAGATTGCAATGCAGACACACCCAAGCTAAACCTCCAAAATGTGATCTAGAAAGTTTGATTGCCTAAGAGTTCCAGTCAGGTTTTCTTTAGTTTCTTTCAAGCTTTTAACTGCTTCTCTATTTCAAGTTTTTCAGCATTTTCGGAAAATACAGTCTAAGTCTACATTTAATTTAAATATTGCTTGTGTCATGAAAATAGTTTATTATGGCTCTCACATCCCTGAAATCTTAAGGACAAGCAGTTTCGAAGTTTATGTACTGGCAAATGCTGGATGTTATCCTAAATCACATAATTCATCTAGAGATGTACATGCTGAGAATAAAGAAGCAGTTAAGTAGCTATAGGGCTGTACTGCAGTTTCTTCAAGCATAAAAAGCATAAAAGAGCCTCCCCCATTCTCATATCTCCATGAGATTCAGGATTTTCATTACCTCCAATGAGAATTCTAGAACAATCTTTCCACATGCTTAGAACTACAACTCTCATTTCCCCGGCCAACATGAGCATGAGTTCGGGCACTGGGATCCCAAGGAACTGGGCTGAGGAAGGATGACAAAAATACTGTAAATGTTGTAGTGCTTCTTGCTAGCCAGCTATAACACTCACAGTCCTTTGCTTTTTGTTGTGCTTCTCAAAGTTTCTAAGACTTGCATACCTCAGTCCAGGTGAAAAGAATGTTTAGACTAATAACAGTTAGCAACCATCAAAAAGATTTTTAAAAAATTAAATTAAATTGAGCTGGAGTCCAGTAGACTTCATGGACAGACAGCTTTCATGATGGCTACCTTAACATATCCAGAGACAAATGGTTCACTGTCTTCTTCAATTATTGGTACTTTTTCCATTAGGGATTTTTTTCTAACATTCAACCAATATCTGCCTTCTAGTAATATAATACCATTATTTTGTGTCCTACACTCTGGAATGATAGAGAATATATCTTGTGTGACCATTCTATTGGGTGCTTGAAAAATGCTATTGGATCTCCCATCTGTGCCCTTTCTCAAGGTTAAACACAGTTTCCTCAGCTTCTCTTCCCAAGATTCGGATTCCAGTTCTCCTATCAGCCTTGTTGTTCTTTCTTTGTGGGTGTGAAGAGACTTACAACTAATCTTCAGAAGAGGAAAGGAATGAACATGCCATTAACTTTCAGGAAAAATGACACAGTCCTGGGAAAGAGGAGTGAGAAAGACGCTCAAAATAACCCACAAAATAATAATTTAAATTGAGATCAACAGATTTGAGATTAAAACTGATCCATCAAAAAATTCTATTTCAGGTAAATTCCATTGTATCTGAATGGATGGACAGCTGATTTCATTTGTGGGTATAATATAAAAATTTTGAGGGTTCATTGACCCATATGATTTGATCTTGTGATTTATTTGTGTTTTTTTAAAAAAAATAACATTTTAATAAATATAAATAGGTTTATAGGCAAACTTCTTAATGTTAAAGATGTTAATGTTATGCTGAATTATATTCTGTGAATCTCACTATCTTTGAGGAATTCTGCTTATATTGGGCTGGGACGGGGGATGCAAAAATTTTGGGGGGTTGTGGGTTTTTTTTTGAGAAACTGGAAAAGTGACATTCCTGCCATTAAAGGACTGGATTTTGGAAATGTGTAATTTATCTGGTTTTGAAAAAGTAATTTTCTCAATCAGAAAATGAAGCGGTATGTCTCTCTTTGGCATAGGTTTCACGATATTTTACAATAATAGAATAGTATTATCATACTTTTTCTCTTCTTTTTAAAAAGAGTACAGTATATAAGTGATATATTTAGATAATTAGTCATTTCTTCT